CGCATCCAAAAATACTACAGGGAGTGTCTAGCAAATATTTATGTAATAAATACTGGAAGCTAACATCCGGCCATCCTGGATGTGAACCTTGTCCTCAAGGTATATCTGTTGTATGAATATCTGGAATAATAATAATAATTTATCACCATACAAACATTAATTTTTTTTTTGTTGACTTTAGGTAGCGAGTACTGAAAACATTTTCACTTGATAGACTTTTTACAGTACTATGCCTGAAAATATTTTTACCTGATAGACTTTCTGTAGTACTATGCCTGAAAACATTTTTACCTGACAGTGTTTTAGAAACGAGATTCTACACTATGCCTGAAAACATGTTTACCTGATAGTATTTTGGAGATGATATTCTACAATACTATGCCTGAAAACTTTTTACAGTGCTATGCCTGAAAACATTTGTACCTGTTAATATTTTTGAGACGACATTCTACAATACTATGTCTGAAAATGATTTCACCTGATAGACTCTTTACAGTACTATGTCTGAAAACATTTTCACCTGATGATAGTATTTTAGTGTGAGATTCTACAGTACTATGCCTGAAAACGATTTCACCTGATAGACTCTTTACAGTACTATGTCTGAAAACATTTTCACCTGATAGTGTTTTAGAAACGAGACTCTACAGTACTATCCCTGAAAACATTTTCACCTGATAGCCTTTTTGCAGTGCTATGTCTGAAAATTTTCCACCTGATAGTGTTTTAGAAATGGGTCCTCTACAGTACTATGCCTGAAAATATTTTCACCTGATAGCCTTTTTGGAGTGCTATGTCTGAAAACATTTCCACCTGATAGTGTTTTAGAGATATTTATTTCCATGGAACTGCTTTTCTTGAGTTTTTCATCTTCAGAAACCTTGTTCATCGTCAGTATTTTTTTTAACTCAGTTCTTCAGTACTAATTTTGTAACCACCGTATTGAATTACTTTACATTATTTTTATTTACATCTACAACATCGTCAACACCGCACTCTTATGTAACGCCAGTCTGTAGCGAAAACTGATTTGCTCTTAGTGTTGGAAGCACCTGGAACATAATATTATTTGTTATTGTTATTGAGTTCCTAGTATATAGGTTCTGTTAAGTATCTGCTTATGTGAATCACAGTAGAACTAATTTGCTTGCCTAAGGAAAAATGCATGATATATCAAATCCTCTATTCATTTTACTGATTTGTATTTTGAACGATAGAAGTCGATAATAAAAACTCACATTAACATTAGTTTTCCAATTCAAGACCTTGCATTATATGCATCGTCAACATTAAAACATTTTGCTTGTTTAGAAGTTTCAGAAAAATAATCGTAAAATTATAGTGTCGGCTTTTCATTCAAGTCTTTAGAAAAGAGGTGAATATTTTTACAAACAAATACTTTGACACACTATAACAAGAAATAGATAATTTATAAATACTTTTATAATTTCTGTAATTCTCAAATACAATGTTTTAGAAATAATAAGTAATTTCTACAGTATTGTTTCAAAAAAAAGTTTGTAAGTCTTTACCTTGTACCTCTACTGATCGGGACCAATAACTTCCTGTACATTAAAAAAAATAAACCTTTAAATTTTTCTGGCAACTTTTTGTTTGTTTCATTATGGAACATAATTATATTGTTTTATTGGTAGTACTTTTGATACTCAATTGTATTTCTTTTATATTGGAATCCCATTCGTCTAAATTAGTATAAGCTTCACTTGCGACAAAGAAATAAAGCAACTAATATTGTTTTATTAAATCTTTGAAATTTTACACTGTCTCTAGGCATACCCACAGCTGTATGATAATGTCGATTTCTTCTTTTTATACAAAACTTCTGCAGTTTATACCTTGTACACTTTTTCGTTTATGTAAATTGCCATATTATAGAGTGTATAAAATGGACTAGAATGTTTTACAATGGAAAATAAGAAACTTGGTTCCTTACGTGATTGAGCTTCATGATATGGGCAACTGTGGCAATATTTGACATAGTTATTAATTAATTTTCACATTTTAGGAAACCAAAACCGGTCCCTTATTGGTTTAATAGTTTTATCTACTGACAAACTAACAATTAGGTTGTGAATTGCCTTTACTACCTACTTGCCATCGGCAATTTTAAGGTACCTAGGGCGATCGAAAACTGGTAAAAGGTACTTTTCCCAACTTTTTCTTAATTATTTTTAAAATGTATTCACATAACATATTTTACCTTTTCCTTTTTTTATTCTCAATACTCCATTGATTACTTATGTCCCTGTATAAGTAATATACATAGAAAAATAACTCAATTATATACGTTTTCCCGCCAAAAATTACTTAAGTGTCCGATAACCGATTCGATCACCCTACAATCAGTGTTGTTTCTAAGTATTTCTGAATTGTACAACTTTCAGTGTGAAAATTGTACATTTTTAGGTTCGATTGTACAACCACTAATTAATCTTTTTTATTAACAGACTATGGCCTACTACTTTTCGATGTTGAAAATTCTTCTTTGTTTTTTTATTAATTTTCATGCATGCTATTTAACGAATCGTAGACTTTTTGAGCGAAGAAAACCTTTTAATTTATTTAAAGCTTGTAATTTTGTTTTCCACTTGTCCAAATTTGTAACAAAAGACATGTTCATTGATAATATTTAAGCATCCTTAGATATTTTCATTTTTACGGTCAAAATCTAGTATTATTATGCGTGACAATTACTTTTTCCATAAAGAAACTCACTTACCCCAATTTCCATTAGTTTTTTTTTTATCTATCTATAACCTTACTCTTTCAAATTTGGTCAGGATTATCTTGAAAGTTTTTTTTTAACCCCTTGATTTTCTAGATTTTCGTCTGTGGCCTCTACAATTTTCTTTCGATTCTGTAGAGCTAGTTGACGTTGAACTAGATGACGTAGAGCGAGCGCTACGGAAACTAGAAGTAGAGCTACTGCCTGAACTACTTGAATTACGATGTTTTCTTTTAATTTTCGGCATTTTGACAAAAATTTTAACACAAGTTTAATTCATAACAGAAACTATTCGAACATCACAATACCACGCAACAAAAGATTCTTTATCCCAACTTCTGATATTAGCTAAGAGGTAATAGAAATTCACTTTACAAAAATAAACTTTATTAATCAATAATGGTTGAACAGCTAATAATGAATGTATCAATGCCGGTCTATATTTCCCTTTCTTGATTGTTAAAACTGCGTCTGTCCACACATCCAAATATTAGAATATCTTGTGTCAGCGAAAGACGCACCGCATCCAAAAATACTACAGGGAGTGTCTAGCAAATATTTATGTAATAAATACTGGAAGCTAACACTATTAATAATTTTATACATGGTAATCCGTTAAAGTATAAGGCGCGGTTAGTAGCCAGAGGTTTTAGTGAACAATATCTTCTAGATTATAATGAAATTTTTGCGCCAGTAGCCCGAATATCAACTTTCAGAATATTTTTAGCAATTGCCAATCAATTTAATTTGTATATTCACCAAATGGACGTTAAAATGGCATACCTTAATGGCATATTAAAAGAAGAAATATATATGAAAGTTCCCGAGGGAATAAAGGCTAAAAACGGATATGTATGTAAATTAAATAAATCTTTATATGGGTTAAAACAATCTGCAAGATGCTGGTACGAGCATTTTGATGACGTACTAAAACAACATAACTTTAAAAATTCTAGTGTCGATCATTGTTTATACTTCTTAGATAAAGGAAATATTAGAGAAAATGTTTACGTAATACTATATGTAGACGACTTGGCAATCGCTACAGGAAATATGAATACGATGTTAAGTTTTAAATCTTATTTAAAAAAATAAATTTAGCATGGATGACCTAAATGAAATAAATTATTTTTTAGGTATCAATATTCAAATGCAAGAAAATCAAATTTCTTTAGATCAAAGTAATTATTTAAAAACTGTACTTCTTAATTTGAATATGAGTGATTGTAATCCAGTTAAAATACCTCTTCCAATAAAATTAGACTATCAAGCATTAAATTCCGATGAGCCTTTTGATGCCCCAAGCCTAAATTTAATAGGTTGTTTAATGTATGCTGCGTTATGCACTCGTCCAGATTTGTGTACAGCTGTTAATTTACTTTGAGAGTTGTCATTCGGCCAAATCAATTAAATATTTGTGCAAGTACGTAACAAAAGGCAGCGACATGGCTGTGTTTGGTATTGCGTCGGAAAATGCGAATGACGAAATCAGCAACTTCCAAATGGGCAGATACGTCAGTACTAATGAAGCACTGTGGCGATTATTGTCATTTCAAATTCATGAAAGATATCCCGCAGTTGTACATTTAGCAGTGCATTTGGAAAATGGCCAAAGAGTTTACTTCACTGAGGCTAATGCGGCACAACGAGCTGAGAGACTAGCTTCTTTGCAATATGTGAGGCAGATCCATTCGCAGCGACGCTGATGTACGTTGAAATGCCCAAGTATTACACTTGGAATCAATCAACAAAGACATTCCAACGTCGCATCAAGGAACCCCAGTTCCAGATTGGCCACAGGTGTTTTCCACTGATGCACTAGGTCGCATGTATACTGTTCATCCTAGAATTGATGAATGTTTTTATTTGCGACTGCTGTTGGTAAATGTACGTGGACCAAAATCATTTGCGCATTTGAAAACTGTGAATGGCCACCAATGCCAAACATATCGAGAAGCATGTCAACTATTGGGTTTGCTGGAGAACGATTCTCATTGGGATTTAACACTTGCGGATTCAGTTGTTCAATCAAACGCGTACCAAATACGAACGCTGTTCGCAATTATCATCACCACATGTTTTCCTTCACAACCAATTCAGTTATGGAACAAATACAAAGACGACATATGTGAAGATATCTTGCATCGCTTGCGCATTCAAACGAATAATCCTGACATCCAAATAACCGATGAAATCTACAATGAAGGATTGATTCTGATTGAGGATTGCAAACAAGCTACTGATTGAAGTAGGAATGATTGCGCCAAATCGATCGATGCACGATGCATTCAACCAAGAATTAAATCGAGAGCTGCAATACAATGTTGATACATTGCAGGAATTCGTTCGAAATAATGTGCCGTTGCTGAATGAACAGAAAAAACAAATATACGAAACATTAATGCAAGCGGTGGACAATAATACTGGTGGTCTATTCTTCCTGGACGCACCTGGAGAAACAGGGAAAACATTTGTCATTTCATTGATTTTGGCCACTATTCGATCAAGATGTTACATAGCTTTGGCATTAGCATCATCTGGAACTGCGGCGACTCTTCTAGATGGCGGTGGTACTGCACATTCTGCGCTTAAGTTGCCACTCAATTTAAACACAATTGATACTCCAACATGCAATATTTCCCAATCCAGTGCAATGGGAAAATTGTTGATGCAATGCAAGCTCATTGTTTGGGATGAGTGCACAATGGCACATAAGAAATCACTTGAAGCACTTAACTTCACACTGAAGGATCTTCGGCGCAATAACAACATCTTTGGGGGCTTGATGATATTGTTGGCAGGCGATTTCAGGTAGACGTTGCCAGTAATTCCCCGCGGAACGCCTGCAGATGAATTGAATGCTTGCCTGAAGGCATCACCTTTATGGAATAACGTAAAAACATTATCGCTAACCACTAATATGAGAGTTCAACTTCAAAATGATCAAAGTGCTGCACAATTTTCCAAACAATTGTTAGCTGTTGGAAATGGAAAAGTCCCAGTTGATGCGACATCTGGATTAATTACTCTTACCAACAACTTTTGCCGATTTGTAGACTCTCAATTGGCTCTTATTGAAAATGTTTTCCCAAACATTAGTGAGAATTATCAGAAATATGCTTGGTTAAGTCAACGAGCAATTCTTGCCGCAAAGAATAATGATGTACACGCACTGAATTTCACCATTCAATCAAAAATTGCTGGCGATTTGGTGACATACAAATCCTTTGATTCCATAACAAATCCCGATGATGTAGTAAATTATCCAACGGAGTTTTTGAACTCTCTGGAGTTACCAGGATTTCCACCATATAACTTGCAACTCAAAGTTGGTACAGTTATTATGATATTGCGTAATTTGAATCCACCGCGACTTTGCAACGGTACTCGACTTTCAGTAAAAAGACTTATGCCGAATTTGATTGAGGCAACCATTATTAACGGAAAGTACGCAGGTGAAAATGTATGTATTCCTCGAATACCAATGATTCCGTCTGATCTTCCGTTTGACTTCAAACGATTGCAATTTCCAGTTCGCCTTGCGTTCGCAATGACAATTAACAAGTCGCAAGGCCAATCGCTTAGTGTTTGCGGGATAAATTTAGAAAATCATTGTTTTTCACATGGACAGTTATACGTTGCGTGTTCACGAGTTGGGAAACCATCCGCTTTGTTTGTGTTAACGTCAGACCAAAAAACAAAAAATGTGGTTTACCAAAGAGCACTTCAATGAAACGGATAATTTGCGGACACGTATAACGCTTCGATTCAGTATTTACTTTAGATTCACTTTCATTTATTTAGAGAAGTTCAACTAAATAACACTTCATTTTAGTAATCGAAATGAATTCATTACTGTTGTGAAATGAAATAAAATTTTTCCTTTTCAAATATAAAACACAAAAAAGTTCGCCGGGTTTGCTAGTTAAGTTTATAAAGTATTTTCTATTGAACCGACACCACTGGGAGAAAGAGAATCTGCTCTACAAAAGTGATAAAATATATTAAAAAAAAGCTAGCCAAGGTAAGTTGAGGTAAGTGTGTTGTATTTTTTAATTATGAAATGATCGTGGAAATCATAACAATAAATATATATGTGTAAATACAAATCAGATTATGTAGTGTAGTATTCTCTTCACAAAATAAACAGTGTTAAAGGCATAGGTGCTTGTTTTCTTCTCTCGTGGATTGCAGTCCGCTTTTTTGAAATATAGCCTAGTGGAGTCTGCATAAAACCTTAACAGGCTTCATAAACAAGTATTTTGTGGTTTTGTGCATCGATATTTATGTATTTATAGCCTTATCTGACCAACAAACACTCAAAAGTATGGATTTACTAGATATACGCAAAAACGCAAAACAATAGGGCTTAAAATTTGTGTATACTGCTGCAAGCCATTCTTTAAGATAAAGTACACAAAAACTCATCTGAAGTGTCTCCACTGTAAAGTTAGATTTCAAATCGAAAATAGTTTTTAAAACATAATATGCAAATATAAAAACGAATGCTATGTTTTAATTAATAGGTTAAAATTAGGCCCTTAAACAAAAATATACTACTGAGGATAATTTTGTAAAAATGTTTACCAAATACATTATATATTATAGAAAAAATCATTAAGTAACAGATGAACTGAAATATCGTACAACGCAATAGAACATATTTGGTTTTGACATGTTTCATATGCAGCCAAGTTTTTAGGGCAAATCAAGACTTAAGATAAATCTGATGTGTCCAACACATAACTTTCCTATCTAGTTATTATAAGCTTTTTCTGGTTTTTTGTACAACCTATTGTAGAACATCTATAAATGTTTAGAGGATAAACTAACTATATTCATTTTCCACATACATCTAACTCGGAACATTTTTCTATAGATATTCATTGAAAACGAACATACCTACTAAAAAATATAAATTTAGCACTTTTCCTCCAATTTTTCCATTACGGTCCATTTTAGCAAAATCATGTAAAAACAAAAATTATAGAGCTCGATATCGCAGACAACTTTTAGTTTAACAATTTGCTTAAAAATCAGAATTTTGCACATTTTGTCAAATTTCTCGAATTTCAGGAAAATTTGACATTGCAAAAATTATAGATATTATTATTAGAGGTAACTTTTATACAAACAATTTTCTTCTTCAAACATAAATAACAGATATATTCCATAAAATATCAAAATGGCCTCCCATAAAGAGTACCCCCCAGATGTTCCGAAAAATCGAAAAATCGAAAAATCGAAAAATCGAAAAATCGAAAAATCGAAAAATCGAAAAATCGAAAAATCGAAAAATCGAAAAATCGAAAAATCGAAAAATCGAAAAATCGAAAAATCGAAAAATCGAAAAATCGAAAAATCGAAAAATCGAAAAATCGAAAAATCGAAAAATCGAAAAATCGAAAAATCGAAAAATCGAAAAATCGAAAAATCGAAAAATCGAAAAATCGAAAAATCGAAAAATCGAAAAATCGAAAAATCGAAAAATCGAAAAATCGAAAAATAAAAAAATCGAAAAATCGAAAAATAAAAAAATCGAAAAATCGAAAAATCGAAAAATCGAAAAATCGAAAAATCGAAAAATCGAAAAATCGAAAAATCGAAAAATCGAAAAATCGAAAAATCGAAAAATCGAAAAATCGAAAAATCGAAAAATCGAAAAATCGAAAAATCGAAAAATCGAAAAATCGAAAAATCGAAAAATCGAAAAATCGAAAAATCGAAAAATCGAAAAATCGAAAAATCGAAAAATCGAAAAATCGAAAAATCGAAAAATCGAAAAATCGAAAAATCGAAAAATCGAAAAATCGAAAAATCGAAAAATCGAAAAATCGAAAAATCGAAAAATCGAAAAATCGAAAAATCGAAAAATCGAAAAATCGAAAAATCGAAAAATCGAAAAATCGAAAAATCGAAAAATCGAAAAATCGAATAATCGAAAAATCGAAAAATCAAAAATCGAAAAAGCGAAAAATCGAAATATCGAAAATTCGAAAAATTGGAGAATCGAAAAAACAATTAGTTACCTATGTTTAATCAAAACTTTCCATTCTACACTTAACTTTTATTTAATAAAGAAACCATAATGGTCGTGGACAAAGTATAGTATTAGACTCGCAATTTATGGCCATTATTCGCTCGGGTGACTTGCGCCCCTCGCCTACGGCTCGGGAGGCAAACGTCACCCTGCATGATTATTGGCTACCATAAATTGCTCGTTTAATAATATACTATTATTTAAACAATTCTGATTATCAGTCTGTACAAACATCCTATTAGATTAGATAAAAATCGCTCCTCTTAAAATTTGTTAAAACAACAGAATTGTTATTCAAGGCCTTATTTTAAAACGATTTTACGAGACAGTAACAAAAAATATCTTTTTTTAGTAAATACAAAAATTATTTAGTTGACTATAATTAAATAGTTATGAGAAGGCATAACATACATCAAATAACAAATATGAATTTGAGATGTAACACTTGCGATCGAGTTTTTGTAGCAAAACAGGATTTAAAAAGAATATGGGGTCGTATAAATGTCATTATTGTCGTTTCGGCATAGTGGGCCAAAATCGTTTTACTAAGATTAAAAATCGCAAGAGAAATATTACAGAAACCACTAATGTTTGTAACTAACTTTAAACATACTTTTTTTTTTAAATCTGATGTATCCAACATATGACTTTCCTATCTAGTTATTACAGGCTTTTTCCGGTTATTTTGTACAACCTATTGCAGCATCTCTATAAATGTTTAGAGGATAAACTAAATATATACATTGTCCACATACATCTACCGCGAAACATTTTTCTATAGATATTCATTGAAAATGAAAATACTGAAAAATTTAAATTTCCTACACACACACACACACACACACACACACACACACACACACACACACACCCACGCAAAAACACACACACACACACACACACACACACACACACACACACACACACACACACACACACACACACACACACACACACACACACACACACACACACACACACACACACACACACACACACACACACACACACACACACACACACACACACACACACACACACACACACACACACACACACACACACACACACACACACACACACACACACACACACACACACACACACACACACACACACACACACACACACACACACACACACACACACACACACACACACACACACACACACACACACACACACACACACACACACACACACACACACACACACACACACACACACACACACACACACACACACACACACACACACACACACACACACACACACACACACACACACACACACACACACACACACACACACACACACACACACACACACACACACACACACACACACACACACACACACACACACACACACACACACACACACACACACACACACACACACACACACACACACACACACACACACACACACACACACACACACACACACACACACACACACACACACACACACACACACACACACACACACACACACACACACACACACACACACACACACAGAAAAAATAAATATGATTAAGTCCAAAAGAACTTTTTAAAAAACAAATTTCAAAAATATAAATTTTATTACTAGTTACTACAATGAATGCTAAATTAATAATGAATTGTTTCACATTAAATAAAGGAAAGGTGGAATGAACGTGAGAATGCAATCTTGCATTCTCCTGGCATCGAGTTACGCAGGGTTCGTTGTACTGCAACCATAACTGACATCATTCCGAAAATAGTGAAAACGGAGGACCCCAAAACCCCAAAACGTAAAAATCCATCGAAAACTGGAGGTCGAAAAAATCATGATTCCTATACTTTTCTTATCTGTATACAGATAGGAAAGTAAAAAGTATTGTCACTATCTACAATTACTTTTTGCACATTTTATAAACAAGATTCAGGGACGGCTTAAGAACATTTTGTAAAACAACTATAAAATAGTGCACCGGAAAATAATTAACAGATATAATTTATTACTAAATCGAAACCAAAGCACAAAAAATCACAAATATAAGCAAGCCAATACAGAACCGATGCCAAAATGGCATACAACAGCCACAACATAAACAAAAAATAGCTGAACGGTACATTATCATTCTACTCTCTCTACTGATTGGTTTGGATACGGGGTGGAGCTGGGATAATTGTTAAAAACCGTTAAAATAAATCTTAATATAAATAATAAGGCTAAAAAGACGAATGAGTGGGAGCAATACACCGAAATACTCATGGAGTATAACAAAACTCTTAGGAAATCTAGGAGAGATACATGGAGAACATCCAATAAACCCTGTGGGACTTTAAAAACCCAAACACGGGAGTACACGAAAAATGGAATGGAAACTTTGGAACTACTTCTTAAAACTCATTTCCCTGATTGTACAACAAACTCGAATGCAGCAAACCAAACCCACACGAACTGGAACTCTCAAAACAGGGTCTCCAGCTAAGAGTGGGAAACTGCTAAACGGGTAGTCACAACAGAGAAAATAACATGGAGACTTCAATTTTCCTGATATTTCCTGGCCTATTATGAATGTTCCCAACAGCAACAACTCCAAAAATCTTTATATGAACTTTGTTCAAAATTGCAACTTATCTCAACTGATTCTTGAACCAACACGCTTCCGAATCAATAATGATGCTTCAACACTCGACCTTCTCTTGACAAATGATACA